AAGACATAATACTTAGGACTCATATATGATCTAGAAGGCATACTTGAATAATATTTTGTATTGTCAAGAAGCTTCCTCCCTTCTCCTTGCTACTTCTCCATGGTGTGAATTAAAGACTACCCAGGGTTCTTCAAATGCTCAAATCCAAAGTACATGCTAACTCCATAACCGAATAACCAGCAAATAGTTCTAGAATAATGAATTAATGAAATAAAATTTATTACAATGTAACTTGTTAATTCCATATATGAAACACGAATTTACCTTTCTGAGAAAACCCAAAAGAGGATACCTAAAAGAATCCCTCGTGCACTGCAAACAGTTGGAACAACCTAGGTTTACCTTATGAATTGACAAATTTTAATTACTGGTGTTGCTTAAGAGTTAGAATTTATAAAAGATAAAAATGTTTAATGATAGGGTGAAGATAGGCTTAGTGATGGCAAGTTTTTAAGGAAGAAGAGGTGTTGAGGTTTAGAAAATGTACCTGAGAAGCTCAATATTCTTGGAATTGGATGCATTCATTCTACTTGGATATTGGAATGCAAGAAACTTCTAATCAGTCAGTACCTCATGGCATTGCATGACTCCAGTAAAAGGCAATTATTTCAGATTTTGACTAGAAATCTGGTCTTCCAATAATGAACAAGTTCCGAAACAATTGTGTCAAAGCTTCCCTTTCATAGAACTCTCTTACAATCAAAATCCTTAATACTCAAGATGCTGCCGTCTGAAACATCACAAAAATATCCAGCAAGAGCTTGCTCATCCTAAGTGCATAGAAATCCCTAGAAAACAACATAAAACCAAGTAAACCCTCATCATTACTTTGATTATTTCCTTATATGATTAATTCAAATAACTGAACACCACATTTCACAAGGTTGTAAAGTTAATCAATATTAATCAAAGTTTAGTTTTTGCATTAAAACAGGAAAAATCAAATAATCAGTATGGTAACAGACTACAAAAAACTATCTTCTGCAATGAAAAATCAGAAGCAGGGGAGAAGTATCAAATTCATTTCAAGTGCTTAAGGAATGAGAAAATTTTACTTAATCATAGATTCATGAAAGCTAGAAGCTACTCTGCATCTGATACTCCCATAAATAGATTGCTTCAAATAATTGAAGACACTACTCCAACTGGATGCTTACACAAACAAGTTGTACGATAAAAATTTTGAAGTTAGTTCATAACACCCTACTCAAAGACCATGCTACAAGTTCTAAGAACTTACTGGATTGATGAGGATTTCTTAGGCACCTGTAAACCAGTGACCTATGCATATTCGTGCATACAAAGATGCAGACTCGTGTGGACAAACACTTCCAGTAGACTCAACATGTACTCTTATAAATAGTTTGAGAAAACCACCCATTTTCAATTCCTCCTAACCATGGGAATCATTTATTATACATTGGGAATAATGAGAAATCCCTACCCTTATTTGGTTTGAGGGAAATGGAGGAGCCACAATACCATCCGTTTCCGTCCCTCTTGCCTGCTTCCCCTTTTTCATTTAGTTATACTAAAATTATAAATGAAATTAAAGGTAAATCCTCCCTCTAATTCCCTCCCCTCCAATTTTTCTTATCCAAATAGGGAATTTTATTTCCCTCTCCTCAATACAAACAAGGTAGTAAAAGAATTCTTATATGGAAAAGAGTTGGAGTAATAAGAAATTACCTTTTAAAGAATTTTCACAAGCATTGTAGGTTAAGAGAATTGAAGCAGCCATAAGTAACCCTTTGAATTGATAAATTTGACTCTTTTTGTTACTTTGAAGTCTGAATTGAAGAAAGAAGCAAAATTAGTGGTGGAATTTATTATAAGGAAGAAGAGAAGTTGAGGATTGAGAAATTTAAATATACCTTAGAAAAAGGGCTCAATGTCCTTGTTATTGGATGCGTACATAATCTATTTCGATGTTTGGAATGTGAGAAATTTTGAACCATTCAAGGCCGGTTTCCTTTGCACATCTTCCTTTTAGCTCTGGACATTCAGAAATTCGAAGATTCTGCAACTTGGAGAGGCCTTGCATGGCTTGTGCAGAAGGCAGATACTTCAAATTTGCGCAGTCTTCAATCCACAGAGTTTGAAGAAATGACAAGCTTCCCAACCACTCCGGCAAAGCTTCCACTTGATTGAAATGATCTATGTTCAATTTCCTTAGAGAAGTGAGGTGTTGAATTTGAGGTGGTAGATACGTTAATTTTTCCCACCCAATCAAGCATAATTTTTGAAGGGAGGCGTGGAGGTGGTGGATGGAATTAAGATATGGGAATTCCTCCAACTCTTTTGAGAAACCACCAATAACCAATTTCTCCAAGCAGACAAGACAGCTGAAGCTCTCCTCCGGAATACTCCTCAAATTTTCACATCTGAAAATACCTAAATCAACAAGAGAACGCAAATCCTTCAAGTCTTCTGAGATGGAGATCAGATTATGGCAGTTACTTATCCACAATGTTTTAAGAGCAGTGCAGGAGGACAGTCCATTTGGTAGACTCACCACTGAACTGCATTGGGCAATCCATAACTCTCTTAGAGAGGAAAGCCCATTTACACTTGAAATGGGCCACAGATCTTCAAATCCAGATAGATTTAACGCTTCTAGGCATGTGAGGGTCGAAATACCTTCCCCAATTGTTTCCAATCTTGGACATGACCAAATGAGTAGTTGTCTGAGAGACGCCGGAAAGGCAAATGCTCCATCTCCGATTCTGGTTAATTCAAGGCAATCTCGAATTTGAAGATATTGAAGAGATGATAAGCCGCTCATGATTGGAATGAGCCTCAGAATTTCACATTCAGTTAGACTTAACTCTTCTAGGCATGTGAGGGTCGAAATACCATCCCCAATTGTTTCCAATCTTGGACATGACCTAATGTGTAGTCCTTTGAGGGACTTCGGAAAGGCAAATACTCCATCTCCGATACTGGTTAATTCAAGGCAACCCCTAATTTGAAGCTGTTGAAGAGATGATAACCCGATCATGATTGGCATGCTTTTCAACTTTTTACAACTTAAGATTTTTACAATTTAAAAATCTTAAATCATTTGCACTGACTTTACTAGGGTAGTTTTTCCCAGACCCCCCATACCCACCACAGATATGACAGAAAGAGGCTCCTTATTACTTGTATCAATCAACAAGTCAACTATTTTTGACACATCACCCTCTCTTCCTATGACTCTAGGACAATAACCAGGGGAGGAGTATGCTGTTTGAGGGTTGCTTCTAGGTTCATAGGTAGCATGTCTGGACTGAAGTCCAAATTGAGTAGCCTCCTTATTAATCTCAACTATAGAAGCAATAAGATTCTTGATCTTAGTAGCCATCTTAAGACGAAATATGAAAGGATTGGAGAAAGTAAAGAAGAGACAGACCTTCTTCTTCATTTGCTTTTGAATTTGTACCTCCTGTTTCAGTCTTTCATAAACAACCTCGTCCAAAACATCCTCGGCCTCACGAGCCACGTCTCTGAGGTTCTCAAGCCAAAGCTTCACAGCTGAGTCTCCAACTTGCCTTCTGTCTGCATCTTGCAACACAGCACGGATCATGGTCAACTTGTTGCAAAGTCTTCTGAGCTGTGCCTTCCAACTGACTGCAAGGTTGATTTGCTCAGTAGCAGCTGAAATCACCTTGGATATAGTGGCATCAACAATAGGACCCAAGACAAGATCGCCCATCTTCACTTCAGTAGATCTGGGAAAAGTATGCAAATTATGCTGGAGAGTTGATAGAGATATTATGAAATTGATGGCGGCATGTATAAAATAGGGGTGGATCAAGGCAATTACTACTGTTGCCACGCGGTTTTAAAATCTTTAAATTTCCCTTTCGCTAGATGATCAGCATGCTGTAATCCATGTCACGGGATGGTGTGGTCAAAAAGTATTGTCAGATCAGTGGAGATTGGACACCACTGTTTTTAATAAAGTGGTTACATCATTGACTTGATAAAGACGCTTTTTGTAAAGAGAGGTCATGCCTCGGACTTTTTTTTTTTTTTTTTT